TCTCAAAGGAATAAAGAAAAAAAGAGAGAGAGAGAAAAGAAAAGAAAGGGAAGTATAAAGAAAGGGAAACATGAAGGAGAGAGTTATATTTGGAAACTGGGTGGCAGAACTAAACTTATAACTAAGCTTCCTTTCCCTCACCTGAAAACTCTCTCTCTCTCTCTCTTTCTCTCTCTCTCTCTCTCTTTCTCTCTCTCTCTCTCTCACACACACACACACAGGTGCACACACACACACAACGGGGGCGGGGGGAGAGAGAGAGAGAGAGAGAAACAGATACCTTGCTCCAGCAAACTGCATTTATTGAATGCCCATGATGACTAAAGCACTGAACATGATAAAGGCCAATCCATTCTTCATTCTGGGCCTCAGTTTCCTCATCTGTAAAATGAGAAAGATAGATAATCTAAAACAATTTTAAAAACCATACACCACAGGCAATAACCAACATGTAACAAATGAAGAATACACACGGACAATATGAACCACACGTGTCCTGAAAAGGAGCAATCAGATGCAGCTGGGGAATTAGTAATGACTTGCTAGAAGAAGACTGCTCAGAAAACAGGCAACTAAAAATATGAGGACAGGCAGACTAGAAGGTAAAACCACGGGAATAAAAGCAGAGAGACTGGAATGTACAAAGGCATTTGAAAAGAAGAAAGGATTGGAGGAGAGGGGAGGGAAGTGGAAAGGGGAGAGAAAATTGTAACTAGCTGAAGAAAATAATATTTTGAAAGAATAAGCTAAAAGCTGTGTGCAGGATGCATTAAAGCACGGTGAGCTTGAGGGATGGGGGTGGCACACAGGAGCCACCACGTGGACAGCATGTGTGGGTAGTTGTGGGAGCCAGGCCTGAAGGAGAAAGGCCTATTCCAAAGCTACCACATACAAAAGAATCCTGAAGATTCAACAACGGTCAGAATCAGGGCAGTTTTACTAAAAAGAAAAAATAAAAGATGCAGAACATATGAACAAAAATGACAGGACCTGCTAGCTGATGACTGATGTTCTGGGTATTATATGCAGTCTTTTGCTGAAAGAAAAATTACTTGAAGGTTTGCTTTACTCATCTCTAACTGACCAGCTGACCATCATGAATATGTAATTAAGCTTTCTGTGTCTTACTCCTTCACTCTCAAAGGTGATATTTACCCAAAACTTAATATGAGCAAAGAGCTTAAAGGTCTTTGGACAAAAATCCTTCATGCTTAACATCTTCATCTAAAAAATAATCAGAAAGTTGTTGACAGAGTCAACATATGTGCCTGATATAGAGTAAACTGAAACACACAAATTATTTGAATCAATTATAATAAAAAACAGCAAAAATAACCAGGCTACCAAACTAACCCCTAGAAACCCTAGAGCTACCCTTGACTAGTAGGAATTAGTAGTTCTCCCTCTCTAAAATTAAAATAGTCATCATCATAATAGCCGCCATTTTTAAAAGTCACAGCATCATGTCTGGTGCTATGCTACTGGAATTCTTTCAGCAGCATTATAAGGTTCGGTGCAAGTACTATTTAACAGATAAGAAAGGTAAAGCTAGTAGTTGTTAAGTTCTCTGGCCTGTGGTGGCTCATGCCTATAATTCCAGCACTTTGGGAGGCCAAGGTGGGCAGATCACTTGAGGTCAGAAGTTCAAGACCAGTCTGGCCAATATGGTGAAACCCTGTCTCTACTAAAAATACAAAAATTAGCCAGGTATGGTGGCACACGCCTGTAATCCCAGCTACTCAAGAGGCTGAGGAAGGAGAATTGTTTGAACCCAGGAGGTGGAAGCTACAATGAGCTGAGACTGTGCCACTGCCCTCCAGCCTGGGTGACAGAGCGAGACCCTGTCTCAAAAAAAAAAAAGTTATCTAAAGGTCACTGCAACAGTAAGGGAGAAATGTTAGGTCTACCTGATTTCAATAACAATGCTATTGCCAACTATATTTCATATTAATGCACAAGGGGATATACACTCAGTTTAAATATGGCTACATTCAGGTAAATTCTAGCTATTGAC